GTGTGTTCGAACTGTGTTATGTAAGGCTTGCCCATGCGGGGAGAGTGTGTGCAGTGTGCAGGGGCCTGGTCCTCCCCTGGCCGGGCTGGGTGCCCCCTGCAGCGCCAGGGCCGAGGGATTGTGGGGGCGCAGCCCCTAGGCGACGCTGGCCTGGAGGGACACGTCGGGTCTGAGCAAGGCTGACAGTGCCCCCTGCGTGGGAGGGGAGCGGAGTGGGCAGATAGGAGGACATCTCACAGCTCCAACTGGGCGGGAGCACCAGGTGCGTGAGGGCTCTGGTGCCTCTACTTGATGTGGCCGCAGAGAATTGTGTGCGTCGTGCGTGCTCGAGCCTTTCACTGGGTGTGGCCACCAGAGGTGGTGCGGAGGTGTCCCCAGGGAGCCTGCAGTGGCTACTGAATGCCCTGCTCTGTGGAGTGGATTTGTGGAAAGGCAGGGTCCATGGCAGAGGGGTCCTTAGAGAGTGACCTGGAGTTTCGAGGGTGTGGGGGAAGGGACCCATATTTTTACCTCTGTGTCCCCAGGACAGCACTGGGCACCCAGTAATTGGTTTGGAAAGTTTCCTGTATTAGAATCCAGCCTCCAACTGCAAAAATCACATGTCCCTCCTAACGCAGCCTAGCACATGATAAGGGTTGGGTTGATTTGGGGGGATGCAGTGCTGTGGGGGAGGGGGGCTGTTGTGATAGGTGAAGGCATGGGCTTGGGGGGCGGGGAGAGATTGAAGTTGCTTGGAAGACATTTTAGGGCCTCAACACCTCTGCTGGGTCTAAATTAGGGGGTAGATTCTGCTTTCACGCCGCGTCTTTCCCGTCCCCGCGTGAGGGAAGCCCCTGGGGCAGGGTGTGGCACTCACTTCCTTTCTGAAGCTGAATGGGGAAGCTTCCTTCTCCCCACACCGGGATGGTGGGCTGGGCCGGCATGTGGGAGGTGAGTGTGCAGTGGGGACTAGAGGGAGCCCCAGGTTTCGGGGGTATCTCCTTGCTGTGAGCTGTGGAATGAGGGAGGGAGGGAGAGGACCTGGGACCATGAGTGCCGGGCTGGCGAGGATGCAGGGCCTGGGCTGTTGGAGATGGAGGTTGGAGGGTGTCCCTAAAGTCCTGTCCTAAGAGGTTATGCCCAGGGTATTGGTCAGAGAACAAGGACACACAGGGAGCTACGTAAGTCACTCAGGGCTTCGTGCTGCCAGTATGGAGTCCCACAGCAGTGATCAAGGGTCCTGGTCGGGCAGCTCCCTGAAGAGCTAACCCCACAGAGGTGAGGACTTGCACCAGCCAGACTTGATTCTGGGGGTGAGGTCCAGGGCCCTGGGTGGGACACGAGAGAGTGAACTGTGGGAGACCTGTGAGGGAGGAGGCCTGTGTCAGTCAAGGGCAGGGAATGAGCTGGGGTCCCCAGGGTCACCTCCGTCCCAGGGAGGCCGTGGGTGGAGGTGCCCGAGTACTGTCAGTCTGGATTCTTTGGCTCAGCGTAGAATTGGCTGGCTGGCCCTGGCAGAGCACAGCGCCCAGAGCCTGAGGAGCTGGTTTGAGGGGTTGAGGCAAAGCTGTGGGGGTGGAGGGATGTGTGGGGCTTGGGGTGTGGCTACCACCTTCCTCAGAACTTGGGAACCGCCTGGGGACAGACAAAGGGACAGACTGGGAGAGCTAGTCTGACTCTTGACAGGAGCTCTCCCCCTGCTGGCTTCCCCCACCACTCCCAGCCACCCCCAAGTTTCTCTCTCTGTAGCTGGGCTGACCACGTGGAAAGGAGGTGGTAGAGGTGGTCACGGGAGAGGGTTTAAAATGCTGCAGCAGCCAGTGTCTAGTGCCTTCTGCTCTCTTTGTCCCCATGGCTTCACGCAGGCTCCCAGGGAGCTGACGTTCCCCTAGGCTCCAGCCCTCCTGCTGGAGGCAAGCACAGTTCCCTCGAGTCTGAGTGTGTGTGGGGTGTCGGGGGGCTCGTGGGTGGGCCACAGCAGGGCTCCGCAGGAATATATGTTCCCATCAGGGGGCTGGGTGGGCTGTTGTATCTGGAGGTCCTGGGTCCAGGCGTCCATGTTTCACTGTGGCCTCGGGTCACTGTGTCTGCTAGTGTCACAGCGGCGAGGTGTGTGTTATTAATTGTGAGAGTGTCCGTCTGTGCATGGTGGTCTTTTCATTACCGTGGGACTGGGTGTGTCATCAGTGCTTATGTCTGGGGCTTCCAGAGCAGGGGCGGCCGTGGCACTGCCCAGGTGGTGGAGCTCTCGCGGGGGCTGCGGGGCTCTGGGTGAGGACTGGACCCTGGAGTTTGTGTCCAGAGGCCCACAGGAGGGCAAGGACAGTCCTGCGAGTGAGGCCCAGCCTAGTGAAGCTGCGCTGGCGGTCAGGGAGGGGCATCCTGCCCTGTCCCAGGGGCCCCGAGCGGAGGTTCCAGGGGAAGGGGAAGTGCCTGGAGCTGATCCGGGCTTCGTGTCCTGGCTGGGCTGGGGGCGGCTCTTTGGCAGCTAAGTGCCCTGCACTGGCTTGGCCTGACCGCTGGGTGGAGAGCTGTGCCTTGGTGGGGTGCTGTGGTCAGGGCACTGGTAGGGCCGGTGGGCAGATCCAAACTGTAATCTGCCCCCCAGGGAGAGCCGGCATGTCCTTCAGCGCTCTCCCTGTGGAGGGGGACACCTGCAGAGCCGGAGTCTTAATCCCAGCAGATCGGGTCAAAGCCTGTTCTTCCCTGGCTCTGTGGCCCGGTGTGGGGACTTCCTGCTGGAGAATGTAGTGTGCCCAAGCCCCCTGTCACAAGGAGAGGGAGAGTCCCTCTTGGTTAGGGGAGAAACGGGGAAGCTCCCGTCCCGACGGGAGTGAGAACTGAGAACTCGGGGGCTTCAGAGCTCGCTGGGGAAGTGGCCAGGGGACAGAGTGGAGAACGCAGCAGGGCAGAGCCCAGAAAGCGGCGGTGGGCTGAGGTGGGCGGGGGATGCCCTGGAAGTCAAGGTGCAGAAAACTAGCATGACGGTGAGGGCTGGAGTGATGAGGCTGGAAAAACTTCTTCCTGGTGGTTGTGGGAGCAGGATAGGCAGGTGCACACAGTTGGAGGGAGACAGAGACCCTGGGCACCAAGTTAATAGGTATAGGTGCCCTCCATGATGGGCAGGGCCTGGGCCTGCCCTGGCAGGTGTCTGCTGTGATCTGGTGAAGGCAGGGGCTGTGGGTAAGAATGGGGAATGGGCCCTGGCCAGTTTGGCTCAGCGGTTAGAGCGTCGGCCTGCGGTCCGGAGAGACCCGGGTTCGGTTCCCGCTAAGGGCACGTACTTCGGTTGCAGTTTGTCCCCGGCCCTGGTTGGTCCTGCGGGTGGCAGCCACTCGATGTGTCCCTTCATGTCGATGTTTCTCTCTCTCTCTCCCTTCCTGTCTCTCCCTCCCACTCTATCTGTACAAAAAATGGAAAAATATCCTCAGGTGAGGATAAAAAAAAAAGAATGGGGAATGGGCCCTGGCTGTTAGAGTGTTGGCCCATGGACCTAAGGGTCATGGGTTCGATTTTTGGTCAAGGGCACATACCTGGGTTTCGGGTTTAATTCCTGGCCCAAGTCAGGGTCATGCGGGAGGCAACCAATCGATGTGTCTCTCTCACATGGATGTTTCTTTTTTCCTCTCTCTCTTTCCCTCCCTCCCCTCCCACTTTTAAAAAAAAATCAATGGAAAAATGTCCTTGGGTAAGGATTAACAAAACAATAAAAAATAAGAAGAATGGGGGATGGGACTGATGAGCATGTCCGTGGGTGTGCGTGCGTCCTCGTGTGTCTTTCACTGATGTCTCTCCAGTGACACGTCACCGGTGTTTAATTCTCCCTGATAATTCCATCCCCCCCAAAGACACATCGTATTCAAGTTGAAAGTGCCCCCTGGGGTGTACCGCAGAGAATTAGCCGAGTGTGTAAAAGTTCTTGCTTCCAGCCTAGACTGGAGATGAGCGTGCAGGTCTCCTCCAGTTAGACAAGGGCCTAATTTCACCCGGCGGTGTGCCTCAGTGGTTGAGTGTTGTCCCGTGCACCAGGAGGTCGCCAGTTCCTGGTTAGGACACATGACCAGGTTGTGGACCTGATCCCCAGTTGGGGGGCATGTAAGAGGCGGCCAATCAATGTTTTCTCTCCTCCGTGTTTCTAACTCGCTCTCCTTCTCCCTTCCTCTCTAACATCAATAAAGAAAAAAAATTTTAAAAAAGAATAGGGCCTGGTTTGTATGATCCACCCCCTCCCCCCGCCCCCGAAAGAGGTCTGGCAGCTGCATACGTGGAGGTCCGTTTGGAGGCTTAGGCCCCGGAAGAGATCACCTCTGGGTTTCTCCCTGTTCCTCTGGGGTGAGGGTCGGCCTGCTGTGGCTGTTCCCATTTCTCAGTGAGTGCCTTGTCCTCCCAGTGCCTGGCTCTGTGGGCCCTGTGCTGGCCAAGCCCCAGAAGGGGATGATTCTCTTGGCCTTGACTTCCTGGGGCCTAAGAGCGTCTACAGGTGAGCTGGGTTTTGGGCAGCTTCACTAAACCTCATAACCAAAGACCCCTCAGATCCTGGGTTCTGGGATGCCTGAGACGCTGACCATTCCAGATTTGCTGTCCCCAGGCTGCACCAGGCCCAGGCCCCTCTTCCTGTGGGTGTGTCTCTCTGGTTCTCACTCCAGTGCAGGTTTCTCTGTTCTGCGTATCTCCCATCCATCTCTGTGGTTTCTCATCCTGTGTGTGTGTTCGTGCCTGTGTCCCCTGATCTGGGTAAAGGCCATTGGCCTTGGTGTCAGGGGACTCCAGGATTACATTTCAACCCTGTCTCATACTTGGGCACGTCCTCTACCTCTAGGGCCTGTTTCTGCATCTCCGAAACAAGGAGATTAATTTTTAATCACATAGAGTTGTTTGGGGATCAGATGAGACCCCGGGCATGGAACTGGAGCAGAGGGCCTGGCACGCAGAACCCTCCTCCAGCCTGCGGGCCTTCTTCCGTGTGGCGCTTTCTCCTCCTCTTCCATGTCTGGTGAGTCTTTACGAGAGGAGGTTGCTCTTCGGGACGTGTCTCTCTCTTCTTTGAAGATCCCAGCCCTTCATCCTGGTTATAAGTGTTTGGGGCTTTCCCTCTGGTGGCGTCTCTACCTCTGCTGGTGAGTCATTTCGTTCTTCTCGGCGTGGGGACTGCTTCTCCCTGGCCCGTGGATACAGTGGTCGGTTCACCCACGCGTGCTGCTGTGCCGTCCGTGTCCTCTCTGTTGTGGGTGGGAGTGCCCCGCCCTCCCTCGGGGTGTCGCTTCTTGTATCCGGCCGGTGCTGAGTGTGTGTGCAAACTTGTGCTTCTCTGGTGGTGTCTTGTCTTCAGGTGTGGGGCATGGAGGCCCTGAGGCCCAGGCCCGTCCCTGGGTGTGTGCGTCTCAGTGTCTACCCTCGTGCTGGCTGCAAGCCTGTCTGATTGCTGCAGCGTCAGGCTGGGCCCCTTCCTGGCTGTCTTGGCTTTTGGGAAGAAGGGGCTCTGTTCCCTGGGGACAATGGGGGAGGATGCTCCTCTGGAGGTCACATCTGGCAGAAACCCTCTGCTCAGGGTACGGACTCTTCTTCCTGGATCTGTCCAGGTGTTGCTCCCAATCGTGGGTGGCTGCTCTGCACACCCTCTTTGAGGTTTTGAATGGACAGGACAGCCTTGTTCTTCTGGCTGCTTCTGGCCTGCATTGCACCCTGCCCCTCGGTCTCAGACGTGTGTCCTCTCAGCCTCGCTTGCCGCTGGAGTGGCCTCAGCCTCTCACTCTTCTCTGCCCTCCACGCAGCCCACTGCCTTAGAGGTGTCCCCTCCAGCCCTGCTGGCCCCTTCACCGAGGGCACTGACTCGGGGGGAGCACGCGCAGGTAGCTAACAGGCCTGGGCTCTGGGGAGCCAACTCCCCATTCTCACCTCTGGCCCTCGCCTTCCCCTGTGTAAGTAACAGGCGGTGCTGTGACCTCTGCAGTGGCGGCATGTTCTCTACCTGAGCTGCCCAGTGTGGGGGCCACGTGCGGCCCTGGAGCTCTGGAAACATGGCTAGTGCAACTGGCGAACTAAATTAAAACTTTTTTTTTTTTAATCTTCACCTGAGGATGTTTTTATTGATTTTATTTTATTGTTTTTAGAGGGGAAGGAAGGGAGGTAGAGAGAGACAGAGAGAGAAAGAGAAACATCGATCAGTTGCTTCTTTATTATTTTTATGTTTTTAATCCTCACCCAAGGACATTTTTCCATTTTTTGTTCAGATAGAGTGGGAGGGAGGGAGGGAGGGGGAGAGAGAGAGAGAGGGAGAGAGAGAGAGGGGGACATCGCGACGTGAAAGGGACACATCGAGTGGTTGCCACCTGCACGACCCAACCAGGGCCGGGGACAAACTGCAACCGAGGTACGTGCCCTTAGCATGAACCAAACCTGGACCGCAGGCTGATGCTCTAACTGCTGAGCCAAACCGGCCAGGGCAGTTGCTTCTTATATATGTGTCCCAACTGGCCATCAAACCCGAAACCTTGGTATGTGCCCTGACCAGGAATCAAACCTGCAACCCTTGGGTGCACGGGATGATGCTCCAACCAACTGAGCTACCTGGCCAAGGCCAGTGAACAAAATTTTAATTTTAATTTCAGTTCATTTAAATGTAATAGCTACACGTAGCTACATGTTGGACGGCACGGCTCCAAAGGCTTAGGACACTTGGCTGAATGTACAGCATTCCCCATAGCACCAGAGACCCTGCTTCGGGTGGCCTGGCCCTTGACTTGTGCGGGAGGAGGAAAGACCAGCTGGGCTTGGTGTAGGCTCCAGGGGTGGGAGAGACTGAGGGCTGGAGCCCAAATGCAGACATCGGGCCCTGGCCATGGTGGCCTCGAATCCCCTGTCAGCACCCCCATGTCTAGCCATCTGCATGGCCTAGATCAGACGAGAGAAGAGGGGAGTCCTTCCTGGCTGTGCCGGGAGGCAGCTGAGCCAGAGCAGGCAGGGTGGTTGGCCGCTCCACCTGGCCGGGAAGCCAGCAGGTGCTCTGCCAAGGCTAACCTGTGGCCCTGGGTCCAGTGCCTCCCATTCTCATGGCCTGTGGATTCTTCTCCACTCTGGATGGCCCTCCTCAGCAGCAGCCTGGGTCCAGGCAGGTAGCAGCTTCCTCATGAGCCTCCCAGCTGTGCTCCTAGGGACTCTGTCCCTGGGGCTCCATCTACTTGGGACTCCTTTTGAGGAGCTGTCAGGGAAGCCAGCTGCCTGTGTTCCCTGGAGCCTCAGCCCCTCTGGCACCAGGGGTCTGGCCCGCGAAGCACTTTGTCGATTGGTTTTTAGGTGTGACCCTTAGCATGCTTGGAGCTGTTGTGGCCGCAGTGACTCACTGGGGAAGGAGGGAGGGCGGGGCCGAGATGTGGGCGAGGGTGAGCTTGCTCCCCCCCCCCGCCCACTGCTGGCTCAGCACCAGGATGCTAGTCTGAGGAAAGGGCCCCGCTCAAGGAGGAAGATGGGTGGCAGGGCTTGAGAGATCTGAGAAGCCCGCAGGCTGGAAGGCTTCTTCTTTCCGTGCCCTGCCCGGTGCTTGTCTGCAGGGCCGGGGAGGCACAGTTTAAGTTCCAGCTCTGCTGTTTCATGTTGGGCAGGGTCAGCGTGACTGCCCAGGCTCCTCTGCCAGTCAGGAAGGGAGGGGGCCTGGCCCCAGCCCACACCTGTGCCAGCCGGCCGCTCCCCCTGCACGCTGCTCCTGGCCACACACTGCAGGTGTGAGTGCAGGTGGCAGGCCCTTGGGGGCCCATGGGCCTGTCTTCCCCCCGGTTGTGATCTGCCTGCCTTTGGAACTGCCAAGTGCCCAGAACGTCCCGGAATAATCCCCTTTCTCAGAGGCAAACTCTAGCAACTTCAAGACTCCATTTGTACTTCGTTCCCCCCTAAAATTTCCCAAGCTTTCTGGAACATTCTGAGGCTAAACTGATCACACCCAGCACATCTTGCTCATGATTTATACCCGGGCAGGAGCCGGAACGCAGTTTTCTAACCCCCATGCCTGGCACACGGAGTGCAGGCGCGTTCAGAGGGTGGAGAGCCAGGGCGGCCGGCGGCCGTGCAGCCGGTGCAGCGGGTGCAGCTGAGCGCCTGGCCCTCCCCGGGTCTGCAGGGCCCGGAACCCGGCCTGCAGGAGGCCACCAGCTTGCACGCCTTTATCAATTGGTTGACTGGTTCCTGCGTGTCAACAGCTGTAGGGCGGGGTGCTGTTGAGGTGCCCCATGGTTTACAGCATCCCCCACAGTTTCACAGATGTGCTTCTGGGTGACGCTGCCGCTGCCATTTTGTGTGGGTGACTGTCGACTGTGGCTGTGTCCAGGGTCCTGCCTGCTGTCTTCTCCGGGCACCTCTCCTGCTGACAGCTCATCCTGTGGCCAGAGGGTGTCTTTGTTCCTAAGAGCCAGCACCTATGGGGGCCTGGCTCGGGGCCCAGCGTGGGCAGCCAGATGGGCCTGACTCACCACGTCCCTGAGGTGGCTCAGCTGGACTCCAGCCCCTGGGCCAGGGCCAGCGCCTGGGGGGCTGGGGCTCCCTGTGTTCCGCTGCTGCCTGTGACGGGGCTCATGGGGCTCCCAGCTGGCGAGGGTCACCCTAGTCCTGAGGACTGAGTAGGACAGGGTGACCCAGTGTCACTGTCACCACCATCCTTGCTTGCAGGCCTGCCAGTTGCCACCAGTGATGGAGACATGAGGAGTGTCTGTCCTCTGAGGTCTCGCCCGGTAACACTGCAGACCTGCTGTGAAGGGTGTAGGGAAAGGGGAGCAGATTGGGGTCTGAGCCCATGCAGAACTGCTTCCTCATTGCGGATCTGGGCAAACCGGCCTGTGAACGTCGGTCTTGCCACCTGTAAGGGGGGGTGGTAACATGTCCCTCCTCAGGCTGGTGTAAAGACTGATGGGGCTGTGTATGCTCGAGGGTCCGGTGCGTGAGAGCGTTTCACGCGTGCTCTCTCTCCTCCAGTCCTCACGCAGATCCTTTCTCATCTCCGTTTTCACAGATGAGGAAATGGAGGTTCAGGGAAGGGAGGTGACTTGGACAGGGCCACCCGGCTGGGAGGGTGTGGAGCCAGCGTTTGACTGAGTCTGAATGGAATTGATGGCAGTAGCGAGGGTCAGGGTTTGGGTCCGGCCTGGAGAGCGGAGCATCCAGCCGTTGCTTGTGTGGCCACTGGTCGGGGTTCGAGCCGGTGGTTGTTGAGTGTGCGCATCATTGTGAACTTTTCCCTAGGCTGTGTGACCGAGATTCCCCACGAGAGAGACTGAAGAGAGGACAGGAAGGAGGGGCGGGCTCCTGGCAGGCATTGGCACCTGAACCGAGTCCTGCGAAAGGTCAGTAGGAGGGAGGCTGATGAAAGAGCTGGAGGTGAAGGGATGGGGAGGGTGGAGACCCCTGGGTGGCATCGGGAGGCAGGGCTTGGGTGAGAGCGACAAGGGGCTGGGGACCTCCAAGCCTGGTTGCATCCACTGTCCACTTTCTTTTTATTTATTTTTTGTTAATCCTCACCTGAGGATATTTTTCCATTGATTTTTTTAGAGAGAGCGAAAGGGAGGGAGGGAGACAACAAGAGACACGTCGCCGTGAGAGAGACACATTGGTTGGTTGCCTCCCGCATGACTCCGACCAGGGCGGGGGATCGAACCCGCAACCCAGGCATGTGCCCTTGACTGGGAATCAAACCCATGACCCCTTGTTCTGGGAGCTGGTGCTCCAACTGCTGAGCCAACCGGCCAGGGCTCCACTGTCCACTTTCCATACTGTCTGCTGCACCTTGGAGCATCGCCACCGACGAAGCAGGCACCTTGGAGATGGTGGTCCACCCCCGGGAGTTCACTGGCCAACGGTCCCCGGCCTTCTCATCCCCTCGTTGCTGCGCCTGGTGCTCCGCTCTCTTGGGCTCATTTCCTTCCCTTGTTCCAGATGGAGAAGGAAGAGGAGACAACGCGGGAGCTGCTGCTGCCCAACTGGCAGGGCAGTGGCTCCCACGGGCTCACCATTGCCCAGAGGGACGATGGCGTCTTTGTGCAGGAGGTCATGCAGAATTCCCCTGCGGCCCGCACTGGGGTGGTCAAGGAGGGTGAGTTACCTCAAGGTGCAGGCTGGGTGCTGGGTTGGGGTGGGTGGGGGAAGCGGAGGGGCAAGCAGAAGAGGGCATGTGGCTGTGGAAGGCCTGGTCCCAGTGCCATCAGGGTGGTCAGTACCCAAGCCCTACCCTCCCTTGCCCACTCACTCATGGTCCTTGGGGAGGCGGTCATGTGGGTGGTGATGGAGACACAGTCCTCAGTTTCGATTCCACCACTCACGAGCTCTTGCCACTTTGGGCAAATTAGTTGACTTCTCCAAGCCTCAGTTTGCTCATCTGTACAGTGGGTATTACCACACCGGCCTTGCGTGACATGCATTAAATACAAGTCAGTTTGAGTGCCGAGCGTGCAGCATTTGTGTATTGTTTCCCTGAGACCTGCTTCTTGTTCTTCCCTGCTCAGGGGACCAGATTGTGGGTGCCACCATCTACTTTGACAACCTGCAGTCAGGCGAGGTGACGCAGCTGCTGAGCACCATGGGACACCACACGGTGGGTCTGAAGCTGCACCGCAAGGGGGACCGCTCCCCTGAGCCGGGCCAGACCTGGACACACGAAGTCTTCAGCTCCCACAGCTCTGAAGTGGTTCTGGTGAGTGCCTCGCCGGCCCATCCGCGCCCTGACCCCCCCGGCCACTGACCCGCCGGCCCCACTTCCTGAGCCGGTCTGCCCGCTGGGCCTGCCGTTCCTTCTCCTAATCACCCTCTGTGCTCTGTTGAGTCAGCCTGGTTGTTCCTAGTCACGTGTGGCAGGTGGCTGATGCTACCCCTAAAAGTCAGTGTCTGCAGAGTGCCGCAGCGTGGAAGCGGCTCCTGCTGTCTGTCCTAGATGCCGGGAGGAAGGCCGGCTGCTTCGCCAGAGTCGCGGGAGTGACTTCACAGGTGGCCAGCTCTGCCTCCCAGGACACCTTGCTCCTTCCAGAGGCCTGCACTCACCTGGAATCACAGGCTGGGCTGCCAAGTGCCTGAGGGACGTTCCCCTGCTTCTTCTGACCCTGTGTCTATGTAACGAATAGTGGGTGCTCATAGGGAAAGGGCTCGCCCCAGGACAGCCCATCTCAGCCCTGCTTTCCGGGGGTCCTCGAGGGGATTCCTTCCCGCTTAAACAAACACCCCAGTGAGTTGAGAGTTGAGAGCCTCAGGGTCAAGTCAACGCAGAGCTGGTCGCCAGGAGGCGTCCCCGGTACTTGACTGACTGATTTGAGTCTAGAATTGATTGTGAATCCTTCTCCCAGACCGTGCGGTCCAGGAGTCTACTCCCCTCCGCTCCCCATGGCTTTTGCTTACTGGAGTTTTCCCATGTGATTCGTTTCCTCCCGTGATGTGGTTGGCAGCCCCTTCCTTCAGCCCTCTGTGCTCTGCCCCAGGAGGCTCTGTGGACCCTTGTCAGGGTCCCAGCTTCTTTGGGAAGCAGGCTGGGCTGCGGCTGGGCGTCTGTAACTCAGGCAGACTCTGCTGCAACCTCTGCCGGGCATGTCTCTCTGCAGAGCGGGGATGACGAGGAGTACCAGCGCATCTATACCACGAAGATCAAGCCTCGGCTGAAGTCGGAGGACGGAGTGGAAGGGGACCTTGGGGAGACCCAGAGCCGCACCATCACGGTGACTAGAAGGGTCACGGCCTACACTGTGGACGTGACGGGCCGGGAAGGAGCCAAGGACATTGACATCAGCAACCCTGAGTTCAAGATTAAGATTCCACGGCATGAACTGACTGAAATCTCTACTGTGGATGTAGAGACCCAGCCTGGGAAGACTGTGATCAGACTGCCCTCGGGCTCGGGGGCAGTGTCTCCAACCACAGGCTCTGCTGTGGACATTCGAGCGGGCTCCATTTCCACTTCGGGACCAGAGCTCCACGGTGCTGGCCACTCGAAGCTCCAGGTCACCGTGCCTGGGATAAAGGTGGGAAGCCCAGATGTCAGTGTCAGTGCAAAGGGCCTGGACTTGGGTGGCAAAGGAGGGATCCACGTTCCAGGAGTGGGCATTTCGTCTTCTCTTGGGGGTGGGGCAGTACAAGTACAAGGCCCGTCTCTTGAGAGTGGCAGTAGTGGGAAAATTAAAATTCCCAGCATGAAGGTGCCAAAATTTGGTGTCTCAGCAGGGCCTGAGGGCCAGGTACCAGAGACAGGGTTGAATATTTCTGCCCCTGAATTCTCTGTGGGGCACAAGGGCAGTGGGAACATTTCGACCCCTCAGCTGGAAGTCAGTGTTCCCTGTGCCAGTGTTGAGGGGCTTAAGGGGAAGTTGAAGGGCCCCCAGATTACTGGGCCATCACTTGAGGGAGAACTAGGCCTGAAAGGTGCCAAGCCACAGGGGAACATAGGGGTGGACATCTCTAGTCCCAAAATCAAGGGCGGCATCACTGGTCCCAATGTGGAAGTTCAGGGCCCTGATGTTGATATTCATGGGCCTGGAGGCAAACTAAATATGCCCAAGATGAAAGTCCCCAAATTCTCTGTGTCTGGTTCTAAGGGAGAGGGAACTGGAATTGATGTGACACTACCCACAGGTGACATGACTCTTCCTGGGGTCTCTGGGGATGTCAGCCTGCCCGAGGTTGCTACTGTGGGGCTGGAAGGGAAGATGAAGGGTACTAAAGTCAAGAATCCTGAAATGATTATTCAGAAACCTAAAATCTCCATGCAGGATGTGGATCTGAGCCTTGGGTCCTCCAGACTGAGAGGAGATGTTAAGGTGCCCGCTCTGGGAGTGCAAGGTGATGTCAAAGGCCCTCAAGTCACAGTTAAAGGCTCCAAAGTGGACATTGGGACACCCAGCCTGGAGGGGACCCTGGCAGGACCCAAGCTGAGTGGTCCCGCTGGGAAAATGGGACCCTGCAGTATCTCTATGGCAGATGTAGACTTAAATGTGGCTGCACCTAAAGTGAAAGGAGGCGTAGATGTCACACTTCCAAAAGTAGAAGGGAAAGTCAAAGTCCCCGAAGTTGACGTCAAAGGCCCCAAAGTGGATGTCAGTGCCCCAGATGTGGAAGTGCATGGCCCAGAATGGAACCTGAAAATGCCCAAGATGAAAATGCCCAAGTTCAGTGCTCCAGGAGTCAAAGGGGAAGGCCCAGATATGCACGTAAATCTACCCAAAGGAGATGTCAGTATTACAGGGCCCAAGGTCAACGTGGAAGCCCCAGATGTCAACATAGGAGGCCTGGGGGGCAAACTTAAAGGCCCTGATGTTAAGTTGCCTGAAGTGAGTGTCAAGACACCGAAGATCTCCATGCCTGATGTCGATCTGCATGTTAAAGGCCCAAAGGTAAAAGGCGAGTACGATGTCACAGTACCAAAACTTGAAGGGGAACTGAAAGGTCCCCAGATGGACATTAATGCCCCAGATGTGGATGTTCATGGCCCAGACTGGCATCTGAAGATGCCCAAGATGAAAATGCCCAAATTCAGCGTGCCAGGATTCAAAGCAGAGGGCCCAGATGTGGATGTGAACCTGCCCAAGCCTGACGTGGACATTTCTGGGCCCAAGGTAGATGTTAGTGCTCCGGATGTGAGAATTGAGGGACCAGAAGGAAAACTGAAAGGACCTAAATTTAAGATGCCTGAGATGAACATCAAAGCCCCAAAGATTTCCATGCCCGATGTGGACTTACATTTGAAAGGCCCTAGTGTAAAAGGAGAATACGATGTCACGGTGCCAAAGGTTGAAGGTGAGATTAAAGTTCCTGATGTTGAACTTAAAAGTGCCAAAGTGGACATTGATGTTCCAGATGTGGACGTTCATGGCCCAGATTGGCACCTGAAGATGCCCAAAATGAAAATGCCGAAGTTCAGCATGCCTGGCTTCAAAGCAGAGGGCCCAGAAGTGGATGTGAACCTGCCCAAAGCTGACATTGACATCTCAGGACCCAAGGTGGATGTTGAAGTTCCAGATGTGAATATTGAAGGACCTGAAGGAAAGCTGAAGGGTCCCAAGTTTAAGATGCCTGAGATGAATATCAAAGCCCCAAAGATCTCCATGCCTGATGTGGACTTGCATATGAAAAGCCCCAAGGTAAAGGGAGAATATGATGTTACAGTGCCAAAGCTGGAAGGTGACCTGAAAGGGCCTAAAGTAGATGTCAGTGCCCCAGATGTTGAAGTTCATGGTCCTGATTGGAACCTAAAAATGCCCAAGATGAAAATGCCCAAATTTACTATGCCCAGCCTCAAGGGAGAGGGCCCAGAATTGGATGTGAACCTGCCCAAGGTTGATGTGGACCTTTCTGCACCCAAGGTAGATATTAGTGCTCCAGATCTGAGCCTTGAAGGACCTGAAGGAAAGTTGAAAGGCCCCAAGTTTAAGATGCCTGAGATGCACTTCAAAGCTCCTAAGATGACTATGCCAGATGTTGACCTCAATCTTAAAGGACCCAAAATGAAAGGAAATCTAGAGATGTCCGCACCAAAAATAGAAGGTGAGATGAAAGTTCCAGACGTGGACCTCAAAAGCCCCAACGTAGACATTAAAGCACCAGATATGGAAGTACAAGGTGGAGACTGGAGCCTGAAAATGCCCAAGATGAAAATGCCCAAGTTCAGCATGCCTAGTTTTAAAGCAGAGGGCCCAGAAGTGGATGTGAACCTGCCCAAGGCTAACATTGACATCTCTGGACCCAAGGTTGACATCGAAACCCCAGATGTGAGCCTTGAGGGACCAGAAGGAAAGCTGAAGGGTCCGAAGTTTAAGATGCCTGAGATGCACTTCAAGGCTCCCAAGATTTCCATGCCTGATGTGGACTTACACTTGAAAGGCCCCAAGGTCAAAGGAGACGTTGATGTGTCAGTGCCTAAGATAGAAGGTGAAATGAAAGTGCCAGATGTGGACATCAAAGGACCCAAAGTGGACGTTGATGTCCCAGATGTCGATGTTCATGGCCCAGACTGGCACTTGAAGATGCCCAAGATGAAAATGCCCAAGTTCAGCATGCCTGGCTTCAAAGCAGAGGGCCCAGAAGTGGATGTGAACCTGCCCAAGGCTGACATTGACATCTCTGGACCCAAGGTTGACATCGAAACCCCAGATGTGAGCCTTGAGGGACCAGAAGGGAAGCTGAAGGGTCCGAAGTTTAAGATGCCTGAGATGCACTTCAAGGCTCCCAAGATCTCCATGCCTGATGTGGACCTGAATCTTAAGGGACCAAAACTAAAGGGAGATGCAGATATGTCTTTGCCTGGTGTAGAAGGTGAAATAAAAGTGCCAGACGTCGACCTTAAAGGGCCCAAAGTTGACATCAGTGCTCCAGATGTGGATGTTCATGGTCCAGACTGGCACCTGAAGATGCCCAAGGTGAAAATGCCCAAGTTCAGCATGCCAGGTTTCAAAGGAGAGGGCCCAGAAGTAGATGTGAATCTGCCCAAGGCTGACTTTGATGTCTCAGGACCCAAGGTGAATGTCGAAGTTCCAGATGTGAATATTGAAGGTCCAGATGCAAAACTAAAAGGTCCTAAATTTAAGATGCCAGAAATGAATATAAAGCCACAGAAGATACCAATGCCAGATGTTGGTTTGCATTTGAAAGGTCCTAAAATGAAAGCAGATTACGATGTGACAGTCCCCAAAATAGAAGGAGAGATACAAGCTCCTGATGTTAACATTAAAGGTCCCAAAGTGGATATTAATGCACCAGATGTGGGAGTTCATGGCCCAGACTGGCACCTGAAGATGCCCAAAGTGAAAATGCCCAAGTTCAGCATGCCCGGCCTTAAAGGAGATGGCCCGGAAGTGGATGTGAACTTGCCCAAAGCTGACATTAATGTCTCTGGACCCAAATTGGACATTAATGCTCCAGATGTGACTCTTGAAAGTCCAGAGGGGAAACTAAAGGGTCCCAAGTTCAAGATGCCAAGCATGAATATACAGACACAGAAAATTTCTGTGCCTGATGTTGGACTTAATCTGAAAGCCCCTAAACTGAAAACTGATGTGGATGTTTCCCTTCCTAAAGTGGAAGGAGACTTGAAAGTTCCTGAAATAGATGTGAAAGCCCCTAAGGTGGATGTGGATGTTGGAGATATTGATATTGAATGTCCTGAAGGAAAGATGAAAGGCCCCAAGTTTAAGATGCCAGACATGCACTTCAAGGCCCCCAAGATCTCCATGCCTGATGTTGACTTACACCTGAAAGGCCCCAAAGTCAAAGGGGATATGGATGTCTCTGTGCCCAAGATAGAAGGTGAAATGAAAGTGCCAGATGTTGACCTCAAAGGACCCAAAGTGGACATTAATGCACCAGATGTGGATGTTCAAGGCCCAGACTGGCACCTGAAGATGCCCAAAGTGAAAATGCCCAAGTTCAGCATGCCAGGCTTCAAAGGAGAGGGCCCAGAAGTGGATGTGAACTTGCCAAAGGCTGACATTAATGTTTCTGGCCCCAAAGTGGACATTGATGCTCCTGATTTGGATATTGAGGGACCTGAAGGAAAATTAAAAGGCTCTAAATTTAAGATGCCTAAATTGAATATCAAACCCTCCAAGATATCCATGCCAAATGTGGACTTGAATTTGAAGGGACCCAAACTGAAAGGAGACATAGATGCCTCAGTGCCAGAACTGGAAGGTGATCTCAGAGGTCCTCAAGTTGATATCAAAGGCCCCAGCATGGATGTGGAGGTGCCTGACGTTGATCTGGAATGTCCTGATGCAAAGTTGAAAGGTTCCAAGTTTAAGATGCCTGAGATGCACTTCAAGGCCCCCAAGATCTCCATGCCGGATGTGGACTTACATTTGAAAGGCCCCAAAGTCAAAGGGGATGTTGATGTGTCTGTGCCAAAATTGGAGGGAGATTTGAAGGGCCCCAGTATAGATGTGGAAGTGCCTGATGTTGACCTCGAATGTCCTGATGCAAAGTTGAAAGGCCCCAAGTTTAAGATGCCCGAGATGCACTTCAAGGCCCCCAAGATCTCCATGCCGGATGTGGACTTACATTTGAAAGGCCCCAAAGTCAAAGGGGATGTTGATGTGTCTGTGCCCAAGATAGAAGGTGAAATGAAAGTGCCAGATGTGGACATCAAAGGACCCAAAGTGGACATTAATGCACCAGATGTGGATGTTCAAGGCCCCGAATGGAACTTGAAAATGCCCAAGATGAAAATGCCCAAGTTCAGCATGCCTGGCTTCAAAGGAGAGGCCCCAGAAGTGGATGTGAACCTGCCCAAAGCTGACATTGACATCTCTGGACCCAAAGTTGACATCGAAACTCCAGATGTGAGCCTTGAGGTCCCAGAAGGGAAGCTGAAGGGCCCCAAGTTTAAGATGCCTGAGATGCACTTCAAGGCTCCCAAGATCTCCATGCCTGACGTGGACTTACATTTGAAAGGCCCCAAAGTCAAAGGGGATGTTGATGTGTCTGTGCCAAAATTGGAGGGAGATTTGAAAGGCCCCAGCGTGGATGTGGAAATGCCCGATGTTGATCTAGAATGTCCTGATGCAAAGTTGAAAGGCCCCAAGTTTAAGATGCCAGACATGCACTTCAAGGCCCCCAAGATCTCCATGCCGGATGTGGACTTACACTTGAAAGGCCCCAAAGTTAAAGGGGATGTGGATGTCTCTATGCCCAAGATAGAAGGTGAAATGAAAGTGCCAGATGTTGACCTCAAAGGACCCAAAGTGGACATTAATGCACCAGATGTGGATGTTCATGGACCAGACTGGCACCTGAAGATGCCTAAGATGAAAATGCCAAAATTCAGCATGCCAGGCTTCAAAGGAGAGGGCCCAGATGTGGATGTGAACCTGCCCAAGGCTGATATTGACATTTCTGGACCCAAGGTTGACATTGAAGCTCCAGATGTGAACATTGAGGCTCCAGAAGGAAAACTGAAAGGCCCTAAGTTCAAGATGCCTGACATGCACTTTCATGCCCCCAAGATCTCCATGCCTGATGTTGACTTCAACTTAAAGGGGCCTAAAATTAAAGGAGACCTTGATGTTTCTGCCCCAAAGATTGAAGGAGAGCTAAAAGGTCCAGAATTGGATGTCAAGGGCCCCAAATTGGATGTTGACATGCCAGATGTAGCTGTGGAAGGCCCAGATGGCAAATGGAAAAGTCCTAAATTCAAGATGCCAGACATGCATTTTAAAGCTCCTAAAATCTCCATGCCAGACATTAATCTACACTTAAAAAGCCCCAAGGTCAAGGGAGAGGTGGATGTGGATGTTCCCAAATTGGAAGGTGACATCAGTGGGCCAGATATGGACATTGAAGGACCAGAGGGCAAATTGAAAGGCCCCAAGTTCAAGATGCCTGACATGCATTTCAAAGCCCCAAATATTTCTATGCCTGATGTGGACCTAAATCTGAAAGGACCAAAAATCAAGGGGGATGTTGATGTGTCCGTGCCTGAGGTAGAAGGTAAAATTAAAGTGCCAGATGTGAACATCAAGAGCCCCAAAGTAGACATAAGTGCTCCTGAAGTTCATGGCCCAGACTGGCACCTGAAGATGCCCAAGATGAAAATGCCCAAGTTCAGCATGCCAGGCTTCAAAGGAGAGGGCCCAGATGTGGATGTGAACCTGCCCAAGGCTGATATTGACATCTCTGGACCCAAGGTTGACATTGAAGCTCCAGATGTGAACATTGAGGGTCCAGAAGGAAAACTGAAAGGCCCTAAGTTCAAGATGCCTGACATGCACTTTCATGCCCCCAAGATCTCCATGCCTGACTTTGATTTGCATCTGAAAGGTCCCAAAGTTAAAGGTGAAGTGGACGCTTCTCTGCCTAAAGTTGAAGGCCCTGAAGTTGACATCAAAGGCCCCAAAGTGGACATCGATGCCCCAGATGTGGATGTTCAAGGCCCAGACTGGCATCTGAAGATGCCCAAGATAAAAATGCCCAAGGTGAGCATGCCAGGCTTCAAAGGAGAGGGCCCAGAAGTAGATGTGAACTTGCCCAAGGCTGACATCAATGTCTCAGGACCCAAAGTAGACCTTGAATGTCCGGATGTGAATATTGAAGGACCTGAAGGAAAGTGGAAAAGCCCCAAATTTAAGATGCCTGAAATGCATTTTAAGACTCCAAAGATATCCATGCCAGATATTGATCTTAATCTAACAGGTCCAAAAATAAAAGGAGATATGGATGTCACAGGTCCCAAGGTAGAGGGAGATCTGAAAGGTCCTGAAATTGACCTCAAAGGCCCCAAAGTGGACATTGATGTTCCAGACGTGGATGTTCATGGCCCAGATTGGCACTTGAAGATGCCTAAGATGAAAATGCCAAAGTTCAGCATGCCAGGCTTTAAAGCAGAGGGCCCAGAAGTGGATGTGAACCTCCCCAAGGCTGACATTGATGTTACTGGACCCAAGGTAGACATTGAGGGCCCTGATGTTAATATTGAAGGACCAGAAGGAAAGTTGAAAGGTCCTAAGTTCAAGATGCCAGAGATGAACATCAAAGCCCCCAAGATCTCCATGCCTGACTTTGATTTGCATCTGAAAAGTCCCAAAGTAAAGGGTGATGTGGATGTGTCTTTACCCAAAGTGGAAGGTGAGATTAAAGTTCCAGAAGTGGATATTAAAGGCCCCAAAGTGGACATTGATGTTCCAGACGTGGACGTTCATGGCCCAGACTGGCACCTTAAGATGCCTAAGATGAAAATGCCCAAGTTCAGCATGCCAGGCTTCAAAGGAGAGGGCCCAGAAGTGGATGTGAACCTGCCCAAGGCTGACATTGATGTCTCAGGACCCAAGGTGGACATTGAAGGTCCTGATGTGAATATTGAAGGTCCAGATGCAAAACTGAAGGGCCCCAAGTTCAAGATGCCAGAGATGAACATCAAAGCCCCCAAGATCTCCATGCCTGACATTGATCTTAATCTGAAAGGTTCCAAAGTGAAGGGAGATGTAGATGTATCTTTACCAAAAGTGGAAGGTGAAATGAAAGTTCCAGAAGTGGATATTAAAGGCCCCAAAGTGGACATCGATGTCCCAGATGTGGATGTTCATGGTCCAGACTGGCACCTTAAGATGCCCAAGGTGAAAATGCCCAAGTTCAGCATGCCAGGCTTCAAAGGAGAAGGCCCAGAAGTGGATGTGAACCTGCCCAAGGCTGACATTGATGTCTCAGGACCCAAGGTGGACATTGAAGGTCCTGATGTGAATATTGAAGGTCCAGATGCAAAACTGAAGGGCCCCAAGTTCAAGATGCCAGAGATGAATATCAAAGCTCCTAAGATATCAATGCCAGATTTGGACCTGAATCTTAAAGGCCCTAAAATGAAAGGAGAGGTGGATGTTTCACTTCCAAGTCTAGAAGGTGATTTGAAAGGGCCGGCTCTTGACATCAAGGGCCCGAAGATAGATTTAGAGGCTCCAGATATTGACATTCATGGTCCAGAAGGCAAATTAAAAGGTCCAAAACTGAAGATGCCTGATATGCATGTAAACATGCCCAAGATCTCTATGCCAGAAATTGATCTGAACTTGAAAGGCTCAAAGCTTAAGGGTGATGTTGATGTTTCTGGGCCCAAATTGGAAGGTGATATTAAAGCTCCAAAGTTGGATGTAAAGGGCCCAGAAGTGGACATTTCTGGTCCTAAGCTCAATATTGAAGGCAAATCAAAGAAATCTCGTTTTAAGCTTCCCAAATTTAATTTTTCGGGCTCCAAAGTTCAGACACCTGAGATGGATGTCAAAGTTAAAAAGCCAGATATTGATGTAACAGGCCCAAAAGTTGATATCAATGCTCCTGATGTTGAGGTCCAAGGAAAAGTAAAAGGATCCAAGTTCAAAATGCCTTTCCTGAGTATTTCATCTCCTAAAGTTTCTATGCCTGATGTGGAGTTAAATCTGAAAGGTCCTAAAGTCAAAGGAGACTTAAATGTTGCAGGTCCTAATTTAGAAGGTGACTTTCAAGGACCTCAAGTGGACATTAAGGCACCAGAAGTCCATCTTGATGCACCGGATGTGGATGTTCATGGTCCAGACTGGAATTTGAAGATGCCCAAGATGAAAATGCCCAAGTTTGGGGTGCCTGGCTTAAAAGCAGAAGGGCCAGATATGGCTGTGGATCTGCCTAAAGGAGATGTTAACATAGAGGCTCCAAAAATGGACATTGAGGGCCCAGAAATCAATGTGGAAGGTCTAGAAGGAAGCTTAAAAGGTCCCAAACTCAAGATGCCTGATATGAATATCAAAGCTCCTAAGATCTCCATGCCTGACATTGATTTAAACCTGAAGGGCCCCAAGGTAAAAGGTGATATGGATGTTTCTCTGCCTAAAGTGGAAGGAGATTTGAAAGGCCCAGGGGTTGATATCAAAGGGCCCAAAGTGGATATTAATGTCCCTGATGTGGACGTTCATGGTCCAGACTGGCACCTGAAGATGCCCAAAGTGAAAATGCCTAAGTTCAGCATGCCAGGCTTCAAAGGAGAGGGCCCAGAAATGGATGTAAACCTGCCCAAGGCTGACATTGATGTTCCAGATGTGAGTATCGAAGGTCCAGATGCAAAACTGAAGGGCCCCAAATTCAAGATGCCTGAGATGAACATCAAAGCCCCCAAAATCTCCATGCCGGACATTGATCTGAACCTAAAGGGCCCCAAAATGAAGGGTGATATGGATGTGTCTTTGCCAAAAGTGGAAGGTGACCTAAAGGGCCCAGAGGTCGACATCAAGGGCCCCAAAGTGGACATTGACACACCTGATATTAACATTGAAGGCCCAGAGGGGAAATTGAAGGGACCCAAATTCAAGATGCCAGAGATGAACATCAAAGCCCCCAAGATCTCCATGCCTGACCTTGATTTGCATCTGAAAGGTCCTAAGATCAAAGGAGATGTGGATGTTTCCCTGCCTAAGGTAGAAGGTGACCTGAAGGGCCCTGAAGTTGACATAAAGGGCCCCAAAGTGGACATTAATGCACCAGATGTGGATGTTCAAGGCCCAGATTGGCACCTGAAGATGCCCAAAGTGAAAATGCCCAAGTTCAGCATGCCTGGCTTCAAAGGAGAGGGCCCAGAAGTGGACGTGAGCCTGCCCAAGGCTGACATTGATGTCTCAGGACCCAAAGTGGACATTGAAGGTCCTGACGTTAATATTGAAGGACCTGAGGGAAAGTTGAAAGGTCCTAAGTTCAAAATGCCTGAGATGAACATCAAAGCCCCCAAGATCTCCATGCCTGACTTTGATTTGCATCTGAAAGGTCCTAAGATCAAAGGAGATGTGGATGTTTCCCTGCCTAAGGTGGAAGGTGACCTGAAGGGCCCTGAAGTTGACATAAAGGGCCCCAAAGTGGACATTAATGCTCCAGATGTGGATGTTCAAGGCCCAGATTGGCACCTGAAGATGCCCAAAGTGAAAATGCCCAAGTTCAGCATGCCTGGCTTCAAGGGAGAAGGCCCAGAAGTGGATGTGAGCCTGCCCAAGGCTGACATTGATGTCTCAGGACCAAAGGTGGATGTTGAAATTCCAGATGTGAATATTGAAGGTCCAGATGCAAAACTGAAGGGCCCCAAGTTCAAGATGCCAGAGATGAACATCAAAGCCCCCAAGATCTCCATGCCTGACTTTGATTTGCACCTGAAAAGTCCTAAGGTAAAGGGTGATGTGGATGTTTCTCTGCCTAAGGTGGAAGGTGACTTAAAGGCCCCTGAAGTTGACATCAAAGGCCCCAAAGTGGACATCGATGTCCCAGATGTGGATGTTCATGGCCCAGACTGGCACCTGAAGATGCCCAAGGTGAAAATGCCCAAGTTCAGCATGCCTGGCTTCAAAGGAGAGGGCCCAGAAGTGGATGTGAACCTGCCCAAGGCTGACATTGATATCTCAGGACCCAAGGTGGACATAGACACTCCTGACATTGACATTCATGGCCCAGAAGGGAAACTGAAGGGCCCCAAGTTCAAAATGCCTGACCTGCATCTCAAAGCACCCAAGATCTCCATGCCTGAAGTCGACCTGAACCTGAAGGGTCCTAAAGTAAAGGGCGATGTGGACGTTTCTCTGCCCAAAGTGGAAGGTGACCTCAAGTGCCCTGAAGTTGACATCAAAGGCCCCAAAGTGGACATCAGTGTCCCAGATGCGGATGTTCATGGCCCAGACTGGCACCTGAAGATGCCCAAGGTGAAAATGCCCAAGTTCAGCATGCCTGGCTTCAAAGGAGAGGGCCCAGAAGTGGATGTAAACCTGCCCAAGGCTGACATTGATGTTCCAGATGTGAATATTGAAGGTCCAGATGCGAAACTGAAGGGCCCTAAATTCAAGATGCCTGAGATGAATATCAAAGCTCCTAAAATCTCTATGCCGGACATTGACTTAAACCTGAAAGGTCCCAAAGTAAAAGGTGATGTAGATGTTTCCCTGCCTAAGGTGGAAGGTGACCTCAAGGGCCCCAGTATTGACATCAAAGGGCCCAAAGTGGACATTGATGCCCCTGATGTGGATGTTCATGGCCCAGACTGGCACCTGAAGATGCCCAAAGTAAAAATGCCCAAGTTCAGCATGCCAGGCTTCAAGGGAGAGGGCCCAGAAGTGGATGTTACCCTCCCTAAAGCTGACATTGATATTTCTGGCCCCAAAGTGGATATTGATGTTCCAGATGTTAATATTGAAGGTCCAGATGCAAAATTGAGGGGCCCTAAGTTCAAGATGCCTGAGATGAACATCAAAGCCCCCAAAATCTCCATGCCTGACCTTGACTTTAACTTGAAGGGCCCCAAAATGAAAGGTGATGTGGATGTCTCTCTGCCCAAAGTAGAAGGTGACCTCAAAGGTCCTGAAATTGACATAAAGGCACCCAAATTGGACATTGATACTCCTGATATCAGTATTGAAGGTCCAGAAGGAAAACTGAAGGGGCCCAAATTTAAGATGCCAGAGATGCACATTAAAGCCCCCAAGATCTCCATGCCGGACTTTGACTTAAACCTGAAAGGGCCAAAGGCAAAGGGCGATGTGGACCTTTCACTGCCTAAGGTGGAAGGTGATCTGAAAGGGCCAGAGGTGGACATCGAGGGTCCTGAAGGGAAACTCAAAGGCCCCAAATTCAAGATGCCTGATGTACATTTCAAAACCCCACAAATTTCCATGAGTGACATTGATTTGAACTTGAAAGGACCTAAGGTAAAAGGAGATTTGGACATTTCCATTCCTAAACTGGAAGGAGATCTAAAAGGCCCCAAAGTGGATGTTAAAGGCCCTAAGCTGGACATAGACACTCCTGACATTGACATTCATGGCCCAGAAGGGAAACTGAAGGGCCCCAAGTTCAAAATGCCTGACCTGCATCTCAAAGCACCCAAGATCTCCATGCCTGAAGTCGACCTGAACCTGAAGGGTCCTAAAGTAAAGGGCGATGTGGACGTTTCTCTGCCCAAAGTGGAAGGTGACCTCAAGTGCCCTGAAGTTGACATCAAAGGCCCCAAAGTGGACATTAATGCACCAGATGTGGATGTTCATGGCCCAGACTGGCACCTGAAGATGCCCAAGGTGAAAATGCCCAAGTTCAGCATGCCTGGCTTCAAAGGAGAGGGCCCTGAAGTAGATGTGAATTTGCCCAAGGCTGACTTTGATGTCTCAGGACCTAAGGTGGACATTGATGTTCCAGATGTGAATATCGAAGGCCCAGATGCGAAACTAAAGGGCCCCAAATTCAAGATGCCAGAGATGAACATCAGGGCTCCTAAGATTTCCATGCCCGATCTTGATCTGAACTTGAAGGGCCCCAAAATGAAGGGCGATGTGGATGTTTCCCTGCCTAAGGTGGAAGGTGACCTCACGGGCCCCAGTATTGACATCAAAGGGCCCAAAGTGGACATCGATGCCCCTGATGTGGATGTTCATGGCCCAGACTGGCACCTGAAGATGCCCAAGGTGAAAATGCCCAAGTTCAGCATGCCTGGCTTCAAAGGAGAGGGCCCAGAAGTAGATGTGAACTTGCCCAAGGCTGACTTTGATGTCTCAGGACCTAAGGTGGACATTGATGTTCCAGATGTGAATATTGAAGGTCCAGATGCGAAACTCAAGGGCCCCAAGTTCAAGATGCCTGAAATAAACATCAAAGCTCCAAAAATCTCCATGCCTGATGTTAACTTAGATCTGAAAGGACCCAAAGTCAAAGGAGATTTTGATATGTCTGTCCCTAAGATTGAAGGTACTTTCAAAGGTCCAGAAGTAGACCTTACAGGCCCACGTTTGGATTTGGAAGGCCCTGATGCCAAACTCAGTGGTCCAAATTTGAAGATGCCATCACTGGATATATCTGCCCCTAAGGTAACTGTTCCTGATGTTGATTTGCATCTCAAGACACCCAAAATCGGAATTTCTGGTCCTAAATTAGAAGGTGGTGAACTGGACCTTAAGGGGCCTAAAGTTGATTTAGAAGCTCCTAACTTAGATGTACACATGGAGAGCCCAGATGTTAACATTGAGGGGCCAGATGTTAAAATTCCCAAATTTAAGAAACCCAAGTTTGGATTTGGGGCAAAAAGTCCCAAAGCTGACTTCAAATCACCCTCGGTTGATGTGACTGTTCCTGAGGCAGAACTGAGCCTTGAGGCTCCTGAAATTAGTGTTGGTGGCAAGGGCAAGAAAAGTAAGTTTAAAATGCCTAAAATTCATATGAGTGGCCCTAAAATGAAAACCAAGAAACAAGGATTTGATTTGAATGTTCCCGGGGGCGAAATTGATGCCAGTCTCAAGGCGCCTGATGTAGATGTCAATGTTGCGGGGCCGGACGCCACACTTAAAGTCGATGTGAAGTCTCCTAAAACCAAGAAACCGATGTTTGGAAAAATGTACTTCCCTGATGTCGAATTTGACATTAAATCATCTAAATTTAAAGCTGAGGCCTCCCTTCCTAGCCCCAAAATGGAGGGTGAAATTCAGGCCTGTGACCTGGATATTTCTTCGCCAGGGATTAATGTGGAAGGTCCTGACATCAAGCTGAAGGCTCCCACGTTCAAGATGCCAGGTGTGGATGTCTCAGGGCCCAAAATAGAGGGCGACTTCAAAGGCCCCAGGGTGCAGGCGAACTTGGACGCACCTGACATCAACATCGAAGGCCCAGATGCTAAAGTCAAAGCACCATCCTTCGGCATTTCTGCCCCTCAAGTCTCCATCCCTGATGTGAACGTTAGCTTGAAAGGACCAAAGATAAAGGGTGATGTCCCCAGTGTGGGACTGGAAGGACCAGACATAGATCTGCAAGGTCCAGAATCAAAAATCAAGTTCCCCAAGTTTTCGATGCCCAAGATCGGCGTCCCTGGTGTGAAAATGGAGGGTGGGGGAGCTGAGGTCCATGCCCAGCTGCCCTCACTTGAAGGAGGCTTGAGTGCACCGGGTGTTAAGCTCGAAGGGCCTGATGTGTCTCTGAAGGGGCCAAAAGTGGACTTGCCTTCAGTGAACCTCTCTATGCCTAAAGTCTCTGGACCTGACCTTGACCTGAACGTGAAAGGACCAAGTTTGAAGGGAGACCTGGCTGTCTCTGGTGACATCAAGTGCCCTAAAGTATCAGTAGGTGCTCCTGATCTAAGCTTGGAGGTACCTGAAGGTGGTATTAAACTTCCCCAAATGAAGCTGCCCCAGTTTGGCATCTCCACTCCAGGGTCTGACTTGGACATTAACGTCAAGGGGCCACAAGTTACTGGAGAACTAAAGGGGCCAGGCATGGATGTGAACCTCGGAGGCCTCAACTTGAAAGGGCCTCAGATTTCTGGCCCTCAGATCTCAGCACCGGACATGGACTTGAATTTGGAAGGACCAAAAGTAAAAGGGAGCCTCGGGGGCACTGTTGGAGGAGGTCTTCCAGGCATCAGTGTTCAAGGCTTAGAAGGGAACCTCCAAATGCCTGGGATTAAGGCCTCTGGCTGTGACGTGGAGCTGCAAGGTGTGAACGTGAAACTCCCTACCGGGCAAATTTCTGGCCCTGAAATCAAAGGCAACCTGAAAGGTTCAGGAATAGGTGTCCACGGGGCCGCGCCCGACATTAGCGTGAAAGGACCTTCATTCAATATGGCATCTCCTGAGTCCGATTTCGGTGTCAACTTGAAGGGCCCGAAAATCAAAGGAGGTGTGGATGTTTCAGGGGATGTCAGTGTCCCAGATGTCAGCCTGGGTGAAGGGCATATGAATGTCAAATGTTCTGGGGTTGAGTGGAAAGGACCCCAGGTCTCCTCTGCTCTCAACTTGGATGCACCTAAATTTGCTGGTGGACTTCATTTCTCAGGACCAAAGGCAGAAGGCGGTGTGAAAGGAGGCCACTTTGGACTCCAAGGCCCTGGGCTGAGTATGTCTGGGCCTCAGGGTCACTTGGAAAGCGGGTCTGGCAGAGTAACATTCCCGAAGATGAAGATCCCCAAATTCACCTTCTCTGGCCGTGAGCTGGTTGGCAGAGAAGTGGGGGTGGATATTAACTTCCCTAAAACAGAGGCCAGTGTCCTGGCCGGTGCCGGAGAGGGTGAGTGGGAAGAGTCCGATGTCAAACTTAAAAAGTCCAAAATCAAAATGCCCAAGTTCAATTTTTCCAAACCTAAAGGGAAAGGCGGTGTCACCGGCTCACCAGAAGCATCCATGTCGGGGTCTAAAGGTGACCTGAAGAGCTCGAAGGCCAGCCTGGGCTCTTTGGAAGGAGAGGCAGAGGCGGAAACCTCTTCCCCCAAGGCCAAGTTCTCCTTATTCAAAAGCAAGAAGCCACGGCACCGCTCCAATTCCTTCAGTGACGAACGGGAGTTCTCCGCACCTTCCACCCCGACCGGGACTTTGGAGTTTGAAGGGGGGGACGTGTCACTGGAAGGCGGAAAAGTCAAAGGGAAACATGGGAAGCTGAAATTTGGTACCTTTGGTGGATTAGGGTCAAAGAGCAAAGGTCATTATGAGGTCACCGGAAGTGATGATGAGGCAGGCAAGTTACAGGGGAGCGGAGTGTCCTTGGCCTCTAAGAAGTCCCGACTGTCCTCTTCTTCTAGCAATGACAGCGGGACAAAGGTTGGCATCCAGCTTCCCGAGGTGGAGCTGGTGGTTTCCACAAAGAAAGAGTAGTAGGCCTTTGTGTACATACATGTATAAAAATACATCAGCCTTGGGTGTGTTTGTATATAACCTCCAAAGAGGAACACGCCGACAGCCTCAGCAGTGACGCGGAGACCTGGCGTAGCCACCGCCTCTCGGCTCCTGGACCTTTGCAGACAGGTGAGGAGTTCCAGGTTCGTCCAGCCCATGTGCAGAGTCAACAGTATTTGCCTTAAGATTTCTTTTTTTTTTTTTTTGCATTGAACGCTGAGAGCTCCTGTTTACTACGCAAGCTTTTGTGTTTATTATCCTCATTTTTACTGAACATTGTTAGTGTTGGGGTCATTGGAAACCCATTTTTTTTCATTGTAATGACTTTGGGGGCTTTTGTTAGTAAGGGTGGGGTGGGGTAGAAGGCAGTAGAGGGAAGCAGACCTTCATTTCTCCTAGGATTGGATCTACTCAAAGAGCAAACTCCCCAAGGTGGCCAAGAGGAGTCGGCAGGCGGGCGTGTGGGTGTTTTTTCTAGAATTCTTTAGCATTGCTTCCCCCTCCCTGCCCCCCGGGGTTGGTGGTCCCAGCCAGCGTGGTGCTCTCGGTTAGAGGGAATGAGAAACTGTTTGCAAAGTGGCCACCCCACCGGCTCTGCATGGGGGCTTCCATTCTGTATGTCGTAAAAGAAACATTTTCTTTATGGCCACCATGTTCCCCATGTTAGTTCTGATTCCTTTTAACATGATTAAGAAAATTTCCCGCACTTTAATGGCAACTTAATTAAGAATGTAAGAAAATTGTTGCTGTCAAAAGCAAATAAAGCTGTTTATTAACCCTGATGTCTTGTGCCTTTGCTTAGTGTGTTTTGGGGAGGGAGGCCGAGGGGGCTGCACGCTGGCCCTGACACTTCCCACAGCCCAGCTCTGGTCCCCACTCCTCAGCTTTGCCACCTTCGAAATGGTTCTAAACTGGTAAAAGGATACAGATGGGAATTTTTGAGAAGGCCTGTTGGAGTGGTGGAGGGATCTGGCTGAGTCCCCGGCCTGCCTTCTAACCCTGACTTGGCTGCAGCTTTGCTGGGTGCCCTCAAGGACCTGCCCTGTCCGGACCTCCTTTCTTCTTTGAAATGAGGGTGCTGACCTTGTATTAGTCCATTTTAAGGCGAACTTGCGTGACGGATCTCTTCTGACAGAGTCCCCTTTGGATGTCCAGCTCCGCAGAGAATGCGAGGTGGGGAACCCTGCAGAAAGTGGCTGCAGTGTTGGTCACGGCTGGCCGGAGGGTAGTGCCCTCCTACACCGAAGCAAGCAGACTAAGCGCTGTCCCTTGCCATCCGCCAGAGCTGCAGCCTTTCTGCGGGTGGCGGTGGCTCTCCGATCACCCTCAGATCAGATAACAGCTGCGCCCTCCGGCCTCTCCAGGACAGCTTGTCCGGGGTTTCTGCCCATGGCACCGGGACCTGCCCAGTGTGAACCCCTGCCCTTGCTTGGATTTCAGATGAGTGTTTGCCAGCTCTGTCCATTCATTCCCCCTCCGCCAGCACAGCCTGTGTCCTGGGGGTGTCGGAGCTCAAGGGTGGCTGTTGGTTTTGGAAAGAGCTAGACAAGGTGTTTGATCCCCCTGCTGCTGTTCTTCAGATGAATGGCCTACAGCTGCCATTGTGAATGGGCAAGACAGTTAACCCTGCTTGGGCTCCAATATCCTTGTCTGTGACATGGGATGGTATCCATGGGATCAGAGTCCCTCGGGCTGTTTGGGTTTCTACTGGGCAAGGGCGCCATAGTCCACGTGCGGCATGCATGGCACAGCCACCTACCAGTTTATGGAGAGCGTGAGTGTGGGTATAGAGGCCTGGAGAGGGGTGTGAGCTCCACACTCAAGAGGGAGAGCATGCACACCCCTACTGGCATACACACCTTCTGTCCCAGCTGGGTCTGGGCACTTCCAAGGGAGCTTCTGTCCCTCAACCACAGGTCAGAGACCAATTCTGATCCTCAGTTCTGAAGCTGACAGGTACGTGGGGTGGGCCAGTGTGCATGCTTCCTGAGATGGGTGGCCCTGGGGTCTGGAGGGGGGATAAGCAGATGACGGGGGGGTGCACTTGTGTACACAGCCGGGGGTGCCCACTAGGGTGCTGGGAAGATCCCCTGGGCAGAACCACCCAGATTGTCCAATAAGTTAGCATTAAATGTGGGTTTTTTCAAGCTCAGTGAAGGGGTGATGTAAGCTAGGAATGGCCCTCTGTATTCATTCACTCAGTAAGTAGCGTTTGAGCCCCACTGGCCTCAGAATCCTCTGCTGATCTCCACAGATCAAATGATATGGGGGGTGGAAAAACGAATGCTTTGAACCCTGGACATAGACACGTGTAAACGATACTTCTGCGGGGATGGTGAGGGTGTTAATGGTTCCCTGGCTCTCAAGAGGAGATCTCATTGTTTGGGACAGTCAGGGGCTGCTAAGGTGGAAAAGGAACATGGCAACCGGCCATTCGAACGGGAGAAGCTTTTTAGCTGCCCTCGTCCTGCATCAGACCCAGGCTGAAGGCAGTGGCCACCGAACAGGAACGCGTCGTCCGCAGTGACTTTACCACAGGGGCACCATGGGGGCTGGAGAGGCACATGGAGGGCCCATCCTAGCTGGTGTCTTGGTCCTGCCTGCCCCTCTCATTTCCCTCTCTCCTTCTGTTCCTCCTGACACCTTTGTCACCGACCCTGCCCTCTCTCAGCCCCTGGGGGGGATGGTCCAAATCAGTCCCCCAAAGTCCTGCAGGGTCCAGATTCGCGGGGTTCGAACTCTGAGGCCGCAGTTCCCGTGGGAGCAGCACCAGGAGCCTGGGAAGGATGTTTCCAGCACAGAGCAAGAGCAGGGCTGCAGCTGCCAGCGCACCTGGCTGTTGGCGGTGTGACTGTGGGAAGGGGTGTGGTCAAAGGGACATCTGGAAAATGGAATTATTTTGGAATGCATCCCATGCTCACAAATGGTAGTAAATATTTATCATCAACTTGAATTCATTTCTGTGTCAGTCAGGTTCCCTACAGGAAATCGACTTCCACTTGAAGATAGTTCAACTTCAGGAACTCAGTAAGGGACTGTTAGTGGAGGAGTGGGCAGGGGCAAAGAGCCAGCAAGGGGTTGGTGAGTGCCCCAGGGACAGAAGGAAGCAGGTACTGCCCCTGGGCCTGACAGAATCTGGGGAAGAAATGATGCTTCTGGAATCCTGCAGGAGCTGGAGGCAGAGGAGGGACCATGAGAAGCAGGAAGAAATACCCTGGCCTTGCCTCTATTGTTGAGAATATTTTTGGCCCTTGCTGGGCCAGTGTGGTTCAGTGGACTGAGCATTGTCCAGTGGACTGAGAGGTCCCTGTTCGATTCCCGGTCAGGGCAATGCCTGGGTTGCAGGCTCGATTTCCAGGGTGGAGTGTGCAGACGGCAGCCAATCAATGTTTCTCTCTCACATCGATGTTTCTATCTTTCCCTTCCTTTCTCTTTAAAAAAATCAATAAAACGTTAAGAATATTTTCAGCCCTGGCCAGTTTGGCTGAGCAGTTAGTGTTGGCTAGCAGACTGAAGGGCCTGGGGTTCGATCCTGGTCAAGGGCACATACCTTGGTTTCAGGTTCAATCTCTGGCCCTGGTCAGGGTATTGCGGGAGGCAACCAATCGATGTGTCTCTCTCGCATCAATGTTTCTCTCTCTCTCTCCCTCTCTCTCTTCCACTTTCTCTAAAAATCAATGAAAAAAATATCCTCAGGTGAGGATTATCCAAACAAACAAACAAAAAGAATATTTTTTGTTCCCTCTTTCTGGAACTTATCTCAACATCACCTATACATTAAAAAACTTATTTTCATGGGGAGACAAAAATCTTCCTCTTGATTTTTGCAAAAAGTCATCAAAGGCCTGGAAGATGCTCCAAGGTTCCCAGGACAGAACCCTGAAAACAGCGCTGGCCTGAGAGTCAGTGGGATTAGACGTGACCTTGGGCAAACTGAGATCCCTCTGAGCCTCAGTTTCCTCATTTGTAGCATGGATAAGGCATGGCCAGTTCCAACAGTCTCCAGTCCTTTCGGAAGCCAGGCTGGTTAATTAGGTGGATGGGGCTGTTTGGGGTCAAAAGCAAGGTATGAATATAACTTAGTGCAACCGATTTCCCTGTGCGGCCGGTCAGCCAGATCAGTTGTTTTGGCAAGGGCAGCGTGACTGGCATCTGCTAGGTCTCCGGTGGCCCAGAGCAGAATCATAGCACCCACCAGGGCTTTGCACGTCACCTGTATGTGTGTGTCTCACATCTTCAAAGTCCCACCTTAGCTCTCTGGTGTCACACAGTAGCTGTGACATGAATAGTGTCTGGGGGACGCAGCTAAGCATGTAACTGATGTTCCTTTTTTGTTGTTTCGTTTTGTTAATCCTCACCCGAGGATATTTTTCCATTGATTTTTAGATAGAGTGGAAGGAAGAGAGGGAGAAGGAGAGAGAGAAACAACAATGTGAGAGAGACATGTAGACTGGTTGCCTCCTATACGGCCCCGGTCGGAACCAGGAATCAAACCTGTAACCCAGGTACCTGCGCTTGACCAGGAATCTAACCTGTGGGCCAACGTTCTAACCGCTGAGCCAAACTAGCCAGGACCCTTTTCCTTTTCTTTTTTAAAATGTCTCTATTTTGAATTCAAACTGACAGAGAAGTTGCAAGAGTAAGACAATGCTTATCTGTTCCTTTCACTTAGATTTACCAATTTTCCCTCATTTGTTTTAACCTCTCTCTCCATATAGTTGTTACAGTTATTATTTTTGCTGAATCATTTGAGAGTGAATTGCAGACACCATGACCCTTTATTCCTAAATACTTTGACATACATGGACATTCTTGCATATAACCAGAATACAATGATCAAATTCAGAAAACTTAACATTGATGTATTATTATCTGGTGTATAGTCCATATGTAAATTTTACTAATTGCCCAATCACTTCCTTAGAGCAATGTCTTTTTTTCCTATTTAGGCTTCTGTTCATGTCCACGATCCCACATGACACTTCATTGTCGTGGCCTCTTTCATTTCTTCCATCTGGGCTGTTCCTCAGCTTTTGGTTGTCACCGGGGACATTGCTAATTTTTAAGTACGTGGGGCCCGCTGACTTGAAGATGTCCCTCAGTCTGGGTTTGTCTGCTGTTTCCTCATGGTTAGATTCAGGTTACTCATTCCGGGGGCAGGAATACCACAGAAGTGGAGGGGGTCCCTTCTCAGGATCCTTGATTACGGAGATTGCCAAGCTTTCTCCATTGTACCAGTGCCATGATTTCCCTTCAGAATTAACAAGCAAACCCAAGTTTTCAAGAAAAAAAGTCCAAGTTTGGGCAAGCTTATTTCGCAAGCACACTTTAAGGGCTGGTGGCATGCGTGCCTCGACCTCGGCCTGCTCTCCGGCGGGGGGTTTGGAAAGGGGCGCCCTGGCTTTGGACTTTGCAGCACAGAGCAGCCCTCTGTCTCTCCTCACGAGGACAAAGAATTCGGGGCATGAATGCTTGCCATAGGCCCAGAATGCCACGTGCTGTTTACCAGCCTCTGATCGCCCTGTGGCATCCCTCCGGCAGGCACAAGTGCTGCCTAAGGCTGGCCGCTCCCAGCAGAGGCTGCCAAGGGCCACAGCAAACGTGTGGGGAGCATTCTGCTGAGGAGGGTAATTTCAGTTCCCTTTAAAAACCTGTTATTTTCCACAAGCTTGAGGCTTGGCCTTAATGGAAAGACTTCCCAGCAGTGGGGCCAAGGATTGGAAAGGGTTAAGAACGAAAAGACCTGTTTGGACAGGGCATTCTAACCCACACTGTGCTTTCT